GAATTTTAAAATGATCAGTTAAAGCTTTTTTTTAGTTGTTGATGGATTTTCTTAAAATCTCTTAATGACATCCGCTTTAAAAGATAAGCTGAATTTCATTCTCTTTGCCATTTCGTCAAGAGGTAAATCTTAAGTACTACACAAGTTGAAGTTAGATAGATTATTATTTTCCTACCTAATGTATTGGGACCTATAAAAATCGTCTTATAAATGAAAAGGTGCATAAAAGAGGAGGTACATAAGTGAGAGGTCACTGTAAGATGCAGTGGTTTCTTTATGTTATAACAATTAGCGTTAAAAAATATTCGAACTATGCCTGATGTACTTCAGAATATTGATTTGTTTTCTAATTAGTTCCCAAAATCAATTTCTACATTTAGAGTAGAAATGTCTAAAATAAAAAATATATATATAGCTTTGAGAGACAAACGTTAATATATATCTAAATGAATTTCTTTCACATCTATTTTATTGGAGGGTTGAAATTTTACGAGCTATAAGATATATAATTGAGCTAATATTTTATCTGGTTTTTTTTTGTTTGTTATAGTGTCTTTAGTCCAAGGCAAATTAATATTTTTTAAACTACTAGATTCTGTGTAACTGTTAAATGAGTCCAAAGAGGTTGGAAAAAAATTATATTTACCTTTCATTTGTTCATCTTGGTCGGCATTAGATGATTTTGCTTTATTACAATTATTGGAAGAATAGAATACCATCCCAGAATAGAAGATAGGCTTCTTTACCTTCTCTTATAACTCTCTTCATAACAAAGAGTAAAATGAGCACTTAAGTTCCCGGAAACGTATAAGCATATTAATATGATATTTTAAATGAATATTTAAGCAACTTTATTTCTGGACAAAAAAACTATTAACTAAGTGACATTATTTATCCAACTCTCTGAGCTAATATATGTAATGCATATGTGGTTCATGATGTATGTGATATAGACATATTTATTTATCTAGTTAGATACTTTTTGCTTCATTTCATTTGATAGGTAGTGTTAATTTGTAATGTAATTGCAGACAAATGAAATGCAGCGAAAGAACAAATCAAAGCGTACTTAAGCAAGATGATCATTGCTCTAATGTAACTCTGGCTTAAAAAAAGAAGGAAAGATCTCTGGGGTAGAGGGATTTGAGTTAACATATTACTGATGAGGATAATATGACGCAATGGCAGAAACATTCCTTAAAAATCATTGATTGTTTTTAAAATTAATCTTATCCGACATTAATAAAAATATTGTTTTTCTTAAAAGTAATTTAATGAAATTTTCAAAGTTATTAAAAGAAGGAATGCAGATTTTTCCATCAATCTACGTGTCTACTGGAAATATGTTATGTCCAGTTGTTATCTCGTATTCATAGAAAAATGTTCTCGTACTTGCTATGTATTATTTGAAATAATTACATTCTTGGCAGTATAATAGAAGTATTTTTCATTAATGAAGTTTGTCATAGTAGCTTAAGAAGTTATCTAATATTGAGCAATAATAATAATACATTTTGTATCAAAATGCTTTTTTTTCAATGTGCCACCTAAAACCGAAATTCCTAATACTTTTTTGAAGAAAATTGAAAAATAGAATTTTAATTTAATATTTTATTTCTTAATATTATTTAGATTAAATATAATTTTAGATTTAATTAAAAACATTGTTTATTGCAAAATATTCTTTGATTCGTCTCATCAGGTAAGCTCGAGGAGCAACATAAATGTTATTTTAATTAATTTTATTAATATGTTAAAATTTATGGTATGGTTTGTTAAATATGTTAAAATTTATGGTAATTGAAAAGTTATTTTTTTGACAGTAAAATTAATCGAGAAATTTGTCTGTGGTAAATTTTGACTATAATTAGTTGGCAAGCCTGATCAACGGCAGCTATGTATTGCTATTATTTATTTTGTTTCCATGTTTCTTTCTACTAAATGATTATTTCTTCTTTTGAAATGAAATTTTATATATTTTTAAAAAAAATATTAATACATAAGGATTAATTTTAACACTTCATAGTATTTAAGAAAATGATTACGGCTATTACACTTTCAGTATGCATTTTTTTAAAATAGAAGAATAACACTGGGGACCAAAATTTTTGTTGCATTTATACGAGTGCTTGATATTACTGAATTTAGACAAGGGGATTTGAAATTAGTAATGTTAGAACCCAAGCTGGTATTTTCTATATAGTTTATTTATTTTATTGGGATACACAAGTTTATGAAGAACAAATAGAGGTTTATATATATATACAGGGACAGCAGCCAAAACTTTCAGAAAAAAGTAAGGAAAATAGGTGAATTTAAAAATAAAACAAATAGGAATGTTGAAAAACAAATAAAAAATTTACTTTAAAATAATTTAATAAATTTTCATGAATATTAATTTAAATCACAAAATAAATCTACTTCCCTACATAGTCAATATAAATTTTAAAAACACCATTTAAAAGATTAAAAAAAAATATATCAAAAAATTGTTTTTGACAAATTTTGTATTTTTATAAATTCTTATATCAAAAACTATTATTTTATCAAATTTAAAAATACACATTTCACAGATAATTTTTTCTAAAAAAAGTTATTTTAGCAAGGAAATTTTTCTTTAGGTTAAAAAAAATTAGATTTTATTTAATGTTCTATCATGTATCAAATTTTACATTTATTATTAATCCTGAGGCAGAATTTTTTACAGCTTTCTGTAAGATACTTTTAACAACAGATATATATTTTAATAATTTAATAAAATAAAAGCGTTGTGTTTACAAAGAAAAACAATAAATTGGATGAAAAAGTAGGAAATAACAGGGAAAAAAACGAGGGATGTCGAAATAATAAAAAAAGTAGGAAAAATAGGTCGTCTGCGGTCCCTGTATATAAATAAATATACATATGAAAAATTCAAATTGTAATGTCAAAATGCACAGTAAAGGATTAAATAGTTTTAAAATTTTTCTTAAGTTTTATAAAACGCACTAATAGTATGGCGATGTAATAATATACAAACAATGCTTTTTTGACTAGGTATTGTTTCAAAGATTCTGTTAAAGTACTTAAAATTTTTTTGATATTTTTAACTTATTAAAGCATTTTGTTCCTAAGACTGTTGATCGATACATTATTTACAATACTAAATATGCAAAAATGAAAACATATAAAGTATTAAAAAGTATCAGGCATCACATATGTCCCCTTTGTGAATACTCTCAATTAAAAATAAGCAGCAGTTATTTCTTTAAATACATTAAAGTAAAGTTACTTAAATCTAATAGGTATTAGTGTCTTAAATATATAGTTTTATTTTGAAGAGAACATTTTGTCTGTTAAAATTTTTGATGAGACATAAAAGCATAATATTATGTCACATATTCCTACGTGATAAAACAATCACGAATGAAATAAAGTTTTGGGGATATATTTCAAAATTTAAAATTATAGCCGAACTTATAAAGAAATATAAGTCGTAAAACGTTTTGCTAAATAAAAATAAAAAACACTTTTTTTACTATGAATTTGAATTGATCTGAATTTCTGAGATGAAAGATACATTAAAAAAATAGAATAACTATCTAAAACATTGATTAAAATAAATATATTTATATAACTCTAAATTGCAAAAAAAAAAAAAAAAAAAAAAAAAAAAAAAAAAAAAAAAAAAAAAAAAAAAANAAAAAAAAAAAAAAAAAAACAAAGAAAGAAAATTGGAAAATTCAAGAATATTAAAGCAGTTTTAAGTCAAGCGTTTTCCTCATCTTGTTTCGGTTAAACTTATAGGTTTTAAAAATTGAATGTGTCGTGCTTAAAAAAAGGAAAAACAAAATTATTTAGTTGATTGACAGAACTATTATTCATATTTTGAAGAAATGATAAATTATAACGATTGTAGTCAGAATAATTTCTGTGCATATTTTATTTAATATATTTGCTTTTTTAATATTTACAAGAAAATATACAAGATGAGATATTTCGTTTTTTTTTTTTTTTGGATCCCATGGTCCATTTTGGTAGCCATAAAAACTTTAAATAAATTTACGCAAATAAATAAAAAAGGCAACACATAAAACTTTCATTCTTTTCCTCTATCAGCACTATTTAAAATTTCAATATTAAAAAATTAACACTTTTAATTCAAAAAAAAATATTTGTTAAAAATAACAAATTATGAAAATGCTAATTAGCACAAAATAATTACTTTAAAAATCCCATATTATTTTGTTAAAAAGAGAATAAATAAAATTGCAAAAAGCATGCGTAAAACACTCATGCAATAAATTATCCCATTTTTAAAAAATATATATAATATGAGTATGAAATGAGGGAGGAAACACCTCCTACATCAAGATGCATTATTATAAATTACATTTAATATTTTGGCTTTCTCTCCTTCATGCCTAAGTTTTTTTTTTTTTTAACTGGGTAAGATTGACATTGCCAAGTGATAATCATCCTCTTCATTTTACGCTTTTCAGAACGTTACTCTAGTGAAACTGTTTTTAATTTTGACTGTTTGAACTGTTGAAATTATACTCATACTTTTTTTCTCATTCATTAAAATTGAATAATAATAAAATGTGATAAAAAAAAAGACTATTACAAAATAAAGTATTATTAAAAGATTTTTTTAAGTATTATTAAAAAATAAAACGTAATTAAAAGTCTGAGAAATGCAAAAATGGTATAAATATTGCAAAATGTGTAACAAATAAAAATTAAATGATTAATAAAAAAGTTAATAATTAAAATTAAGAAAAAAAACTCAATATGTATATTGATGAAGTATATTAGGAAAAAATTAATTTTTTATAATTATTAAATAAAAATTAATAGTGCTTAGGAAAAATGGATGGGATTTAGATAAAAAAAAAGTGAGGAAGGGATTATTTTCATAAGATGAAGGAGGATTATAGGAATAATATTACAATAGAAATAAAGAAGAATTACCAATAAATGTTTTAATGGAATTCGAAAATACATAAAATCTAATGTAATTCATAGAAAAACAAAGGTTTTATTATATAAATTTTTTTTACAATCAATTTTAACGAATGCTTGTGAAACCTGAACCACATCTTGTACAGATGAGGCTATGTTGGGTACCTCTGAGAGCATTGTTTTCGATGCTAAAACTGTTGGCATCAGAAAAAGCAGATCCGAAAAGTACGGCTTTACTTCCTACGTCTGCCACCATCACCAGAATGAGTCTCTGTTTGGACCCTCAACTCTTTAACGAAGGAATTCCTTAAGCAATTCCACATTTTCTGAATTTCCATGCCTGTAAGAATTACGAAAAATATATTTTCAGGGAGCCAGATAATTCTTTCAACAAAAAATAAGCACCTTTTAAGTACTTTTAAAGCACTCAAAAAATATTTTTAAGCCCTATATACATTAACAAAATACAAAACTAATTTTCAGAGATTTTACATGATCATGATAAAACAAGTAGTTTCTGACAAAGAATTCTTTTCCACATTATATTAGCTACCATAAAAATATTTTTCAGTTCGATTTTAGAGTGTGGGAAATGAAGCCTGAAACTGAGAATAACTTGCAGAATGCAGCAGAGTTGCACATGACAATGCAATAATCATGCCGAATTCAGCTCAGTAGAAGCACATGTGGAGCATTTCATCAAATATGTATATTGATTGGCGCTTTCAGACGCTATGGACCAAATGGATTGGGGTTGAATGAATTATAAAAACTTGGAGTAGAATAATGTGAAAAATATATAATATAAAATTATTTACATTATTTTTATATTGAAAGAAATTAATTGTGCTTAGGTATCAGTTACTTATACATACAACATTGAATTTATCAAAACAGTATAAGACCCCAAATCCGGCACTCACGGGACCCATGAAATTCCGTATTTCGGAATTTGCCGAATTTCGAATCTCTTTCGGAAATTTCAAAATGGCACCCATATAATACAATAATTCAATTATACTGCTAATTTCAAAAAATTAATTAATTCCAATAAATTTAGTTAAATTTTGATCACAGTAGGTGAATTTAAAACTTTCCCATCTTAAGAAATCTCATTAATTAAAATATAATCTATAGAATTGAAATAACAATATATATTTTTTATAAGCTAACAACAAATAATGATAAAAAAAAACAAGCTAACAACTAAATATGATTAGAAAAAACAAGCCATCAATTAACAAAAAAAAAAGGAGCAGTTAATAACTAATAAAAAAACAAAAGAGTATAATTTACATCAAATAAGAAAAGCAGCAAAAGGGATAGAATTCAGTTTGTATCCCAGGTGGTAGCTTCATTATCAAAAGGGTGTGGCTAATTTATGGTCAAACTGGAGAGGGAAATGTGGGAACGAAGGAGTAAGAAGGGGGGAAAACCAGTAGAGCACTTGTACAGCTGTCAAGATTGATTGATAAGTTTCTTCCAACTTGCTTTTCTTTATTTTGTTCATTGAAAATGCAGGTGTTTTTACTTTTCCCTTTCACTTTAGATATTTTAAACTGCTTTAGAACCAGATGTTTCCTTTGACACAGATTTTTTTTCCATGCTTTTTTTTTTTTTTTTTAGAAAGATAAAATAAAGTTACTTACTTCAACAGAATAAAATTCCAAATAGAAAGAGAATATAACGGATTTTTTTTTCTCTTATTAATAAAAATTTCTTTAAAAAAAAAAAAAGAATTAGATCAGATTATGTGCCAAATTTTGGGTCCTGCCGAATTAGGTGTCCCATACTGTATCATGAAAATTCCTGTTAATGATAGGAGGTTCCTTCAGTACCAGAATATAGACAAAACACATACATTTCAAAATTATGATAGCTGTCTATTATAATTATTAAGTCTGTTTGTAAAATTAATAATGTTATTTATGTGTTACCCTGTAGTTTTTGGAACGTGAGATATGTTGGACAAACTAGTAACTCCAGGATATCTGCTACATTTCAGATTTTCAAATCCATGACTAAATTTCAAGAATTTTTCATATGACTTAACAAAGTTACTATTTCTCCCGACAAAAACACAACAATAAATTTAAAAAAGCATTATTATAACATTAATTGAAGTTTATAATTTAAAAATCCAGTAAAGAAAGAGTCAAAACAATAAAATAGCAGAAAAAAATACAAAAGCAAATATTTTTTTTTCCTTTTATCTCCAGAATTATAATCTAAAGATACTTTTCTTATTCATCAGAAAGGAAAGAAACACTTCTGATTTTTCTGTTCTCATTTCGGAATTAAAAAAAATTCACCAATGACTGGCTTGCTTCAGCTAGATTTTTAAATTGATAAAATAAAAAAAATTTAATAATAATAAATATTCTGAAATCACAAAAGTTTGAAAGATAATTCATTCTAGAAATTATTTTTTTTTTCTTTTTTAAAAAGAACACTATAATTTTTAAAGAACATGATAAAAGCATTTTATGTTTTAATAAAATATGACTGTGAGTGGGGATTTTGTTAGAAATTCAGATTTTCAGAGTACCGTGGGGGATTCCATTTTAAAAATTAGATTTTTCAGTAACCTAAATTCATGACTTTCTATAATTTTTTTTAAAAAAAATAGTTAAAATCCTGACATTTCATGACAAATTTTGTTCAATACCGAAGTTCATGATTCTCCATGACTTTCCAGGTGCACAGATACCCTGCAACTCTCTTAATATAAGAATTAATAAACATCATAAAGATATAAACTAATGAAATGATCAATAACTTAGAATTGAATCATATTAGAGAATCATTTTTGTTTTCAGTTTCATATTGAATCATATTTTTTTCATTGCATCATATTTTTTTTCCAGTTTCTCTACAGAATTACAGTATAACTCGGATTCCCTAAGAACAAAATCATATAACTAATAGAATAATTATATATAATTAGAATAATTAATTATTCAAATCATGAACAATTTCTTTACGGATGAGCAAGATTGAGTAAATCTTTTTAACAGTAAAATTCACAGAATATTAACTAACATGATGAAAACTAGTTTGTACTGCAAAAAACATTTCTGATCAAATACATAAAGAGCAAATACAGAGGGTGTTAATTTTACAGTGAGAGAAATAAACAATAAAACATATTAACCTGTTAATACAAGACACCAACATATCACATGCCATGAATTTCAATCTTTGTTCCAAATGTTTGGCAAAAACTTCATCAGGTCAATGCAAGTCCCGGATGAAAGATTGCAATGCATCTAGTTTCCAAAAAAGATCTTCAGAAGTAATGCATCCATGCCTGCAAGACGAAGATGAAAATGCATATCACAAATCAATGAAATAACTATTACTACAACACAACATTTGAATTTATTAATCAGGGGTACGTCTAGGTTTTTTTTAGAGGTATTTTGTGAAAATTCAGACATAATTAATGAAAAATTAAAATTTATACTAAAAAATCAGCACAAAAATTTGGTAGAAAGCAAATATTTTTAAAAAATTTCACTACAAATAAAAATCATTTGACTCGTAAATTTCTATATATTTTTCCACATATATTCAAAAAGAATTTTACTATTTGAAAATTTTGGACTTAAAATTGTATCCAAATTTAAAAATCATTGTCCATAACTAAATTTCAACTTAAATTTAATAAAAACATGCATTCAACAATGTTAGCACTAAAAGTTATTTTCATTATGAGAACATTTTTGACTAGGTCAAACAGAAAAAAATTTCCCAGAGAAAAGATGTTTCATAAAAAATAAATTTTTAGAATAATGTTTGAATTTCGACTTCTTGTACAGTTTATACAGGGAGAGCCACGTTGTTTCATTAAAAAAAAACTGTACAAAAAAAAGAAGCTCGCTTTGATATGGCATAAGCGACTAGCATACCACATTGCTGTATCTAACCAAACACATGCTACCCTTTCATAAAGAACAGCTGAAATAAAAGCCCTTCTTTTCCATAGATTGCAACGAGAGCTTGCTTTGTTAAAAGTATTTTGTGAAACTAACGTTAAATTGAATTTGTGAAGGTATGCAAAACCATACAAAATTCACTCAGGACAGACCCTTGATAATAGAGATCAATTGCACACAACATTTAACTTTTAGAATACATATGGAAGATTCAAGTTTCATCCGTACAATGCCTCGAGAAGAAAAAAAACAACAAATTTCAATACATTCTAGAAGTAAATGATTGATTTGTTTTGTCAAGCTGATATACATTGCTGAGTTTTGAGAAGTCACTCTCTCCAGACTAACATTATTTTCCTGAGTCCTCTTACAGGGTTCCCACTAAATTTTTTAAAAAAAATTCAAGGACTTTTCAATGACTTTCAAGGACCTAAAATCAAGTTTTTTAAGGACCTATTCGGTACTATTGTTATATGCTAAAGTACATGCCAACCAGATTTTACAATTACGTAGAAGCAGAAATTTTATGTTTTTAAATCACAATGCTTATTTGACAAAAAAAATTTTTTTTATTAAATTTATCAGCTAATAATACGAATGGTTGATAGTTACATTGCTGTTTCAAATCACTTAGAANAAAAAAAAAAAAAAAAAAAAAAAAAAAAAAAAAAAACTCCAACAATACAAACCAGCATCAGTGAAATTTTTTATGAAAATTCAATGAAGTGAATTAGAATTAATGAAACTGAATGAATGTATAATGCATATTAAACATTCATTCAATTCCTTATATAAATTCTGATGAGCAATTTGCAAATCACTTTAAAGTAACATTCGACATGCAATTCATTAATCACTTTCAGTTAAACGGCAATTTGTAGAATATTTCATATGAATTCTGATCCGTAAACCAAGAATCTTTTTAATGTGAATTGCGATGTTTATTCATAATGAAACCTGTAGAACTAAATTTTATTTATTAGCAGTAAAAACTAACAGTAAAAATTTTATTATAAATGATAAAAAAATTAATTATTCTTTGTACACAAAATAAAAGAACAAATAGGATAACAATATTAACCTGTTGTAATAATGAAGTTAACACATTGAACATATTTCTAAATCCATTAAACACTATATATCATTTAAAAACTATGACTAAAAACCTAAAATTTGCTAGAAATTTTAGCTTTCAAAACATCAGAGTCTGAAAAGTCTAGGTTAGAAAAGTTTTGTATCTTCTTTAACCCCTTTTCACTTCAAGCATTAAAAATTGCATCAATTAGAATTTCTATAATTTTCCTATGAATTTATTTATTATTTTTTTTTCCTACTTTTTCGGAAGAAAAATTAGTAGTATTTTAACTCCTAAAAAATCAAGAACTTTTCAAGTATCCAATGGCAGAATTCAAGGACTTTTCAGGGCCTGATTTTTTTCAACCAAATTCAAGCACTGTGGGAACCCTGTCTTAAAAAAGAAGATTATCCCCACAAGAATTATAGCTGTGATAGAATTCAATGAATGGATACCACAAGTTGATTTATTGTGGTTTTGTGAAAAGTTGGGAGAGCTGTGTTAAGATCACTGTACTTTGGAGTGCTGACAATGAGAGCTGTAATAAGTTCACGGTCGCTCCTGTGCTGAGCAGTCGAGTGTATACATTCTATATGAATGAGACTGAGTAGCAAAGAGCGCGAGGAGGTGGATAATGTCGCAGCCACAAATAGCAAGTCAACTATTCAATATGAACCACCCATTGAAGTCGGAGTGTCAGATCAAAGTGGGCGTTACTGTCAAGATAGGTGTGTTCTTATCGAAGTGGGAGTTTCTGTCATCACGTCCGGGTCACTAATCTGGGAAGTGAGTTGTTATTGACTGTGTCAACCTTCATCTATGAAAAGGTACCTCGACATAGAATCGAGATAACATGCCTCATATACTAGAGAGTTGGATTTGTATATTTATAGTGGTAGATACACCCCAAAGTCAGCCAAAACATTTATGTTTAATAGATTCATTATTAATGTCAGAAACACAATATGAATTAGATTAAAAAAATGTATTATCTTAATGCTTTAAGAAATATAATTAGTATAAAAGAAAGTGTTGTTTAATAGAAAGTAGTATTATTATTAATTAGAATTATATTTATTAATATTTTTTTTTAAAAAAAACAATATAATTTTTTTAAATTCAACATGTAATAGTTTTTTTATTTTAATATTATGGGTGATATTCTAGCATTTTGTTGGGGGGAACATTTTTGTTGAACATATTTGAAGAATATTTTTGTAGTAAGTTTTTTCTTTGTGATTAGTGTAAATATTGCTTGAAATCGTGTTATTATTTTAATATTGTCCAATAACAAATTTTGATGTTGAGCAGAGGCATTCGTTCAATTTTAAGAAAGTTAACGATTAAATTTTAACACATAAAAAAATGGTTAAAAATATAATTCATTACCATCTTCACTGGAAAACAATCCTATGTATCTGAAGGCTGTTCAGCTAAAAGTGTGTCCATATCAACAGCTAAGAACAACCAGAAGATCTCCGCGTGTTCAACCATGCGAAAGCCTGTAAAATTTATATAACATATATTTTCTTTTGCTGATGCAAGCAATTTTAATAGCTATCCTAATCATACCTAACGAATATTTCTTCTATCAAAAATTATACAGAAAAAAGTTACTTCACTAAATAACAAGATAAATCTAAAAATTTAGTGAACGGCATTTATGAATATTTCAAAAGTAACAAGAGTAAAAAATGCAATTCTATACATACAGATGAGATGGCTGATAGAAAGGAGAGTAAGAAGTTTTGTTTGAGCAGTGAACATATCTACTACTCTAAGTGTATGTCTAAGAAATGCATTACATGTAGACCTAGATTCCATATTCAATTGGTTTAACCTTTAAACATTTCAGAGAAGGAAAGGAAACCATACTGATGGCAAGTCATATTAGGGGGGACCATAAAGAGATGTGACAATTCCAGGTATGTGACATATGCTGTTGGTCACTTATAAATGATGAAAGATTCTGGAATTAAATAACAATAAGGGACAGTGTTAGTAGATCATTTACAGAGGTTTTAGCAAATGCATAATACTTTCGCATTTTATCCCACATTCATTGAAGACAAATAACATAGAAAAGGTCTTTGAGGACTCCCTGAAGACAACCGTCTTTCGATTTAATGTAAAAAAGGCTTCATTTAAGGACAGCAACATAAATTCATTGCAAAAAGAGCCTTCACTGTCTTAGTTTGTGCAAAGTGTTTTGTAACTAACTGATTTTGTCTTGAGCGTTATCAAAAATGTTCTAATTTACCATTCCATTCACCAATTTTTTAATTGCACTTTCTATTACTTTTATGTGTATTCATTGAGTAAATTTAATTAAAATCGGATCCCTAACATTGCATCAATAATTAAACAGATTCAAATTCTTATCAGAAACATTAAATAAGAGCAAAGCAAGTTCAAGCTTTTAATAAGGTTCTATAAGCGAAGTGCTGATTATATAAATGAATAAAGTTAATCAAATATGAAACTGTTATACATTGCACAATTTAATTTTGAAACGTTACATTAATTTCCAAAAGTTGAATTTAATTTTTAGCAGTCAATTATTAACTGGTCACCAAATTGAATTGTGAAGAAAAAAGTATGGATATGTTTTGGTTTCAGATAGTGAAAATGCTGGATTATAATCATTTTGCAATTTTTTTCTGAATCTTTAAAATGTTTTCGATTATATGATAAGATTTTAAGAGAAAAAAAAATCAATCTGTTACGGAAACAAATACTATTTATTGTGCTGCTTGTCAACTTCTTGATTGATTAAAAAATTGAAAGAAATAGAAGCATTTTATACCACAAGAAGTCTGTAAATATGAAGAAAAAAAATTCTAAACAAAAAAAATTTCTAAAAAATCTGAAATTTTCAGAATAAAAATTTCTGAAAATTCTACAACAGGCCAATAAGCTTTTTCAGCAAACATTCAATTTGTTTCACTTTTAAATGTACACAACGTTTATTGACTCTATACTATTTGCACAACTTTTGACCTTGACTTCTATTAACAATTTTCAAAGTGCACTGAATTTGGTACTGGGTAAGATAAAATTTAAAGCAAGCACTTTTTCGCAATTTAGAAGCTGTTTTAGTACAAATAGTTTCAAAAATCGAACAAAAATATTCAAATTTTCTTTTCAAATCTGCTAGAAGACAGTTTAAACTAACTTAAGAGAGAATAAGTCAGGAAACATTTTCCATAATATTAAGAAAAAACATCTTCTAAGATAACAAACAAAAAACCAGAAGTTTAATATTTTCTACAAAATCCAAAACTTTCTTGAAAAAAAAAATCTAATGTATACAACCCTGTAAAAATATTATTATTCATATTGCTTTTTGAAGAATTAAGATTTGTAGAAGAAGAGAAAAACTTTAAAAATGAATAATAATCATGAATATAACCGGAGAAATATTAAAACCAGTTAAAAAAACATTCATTTTTTAAAACGAGATATTTGTAATAAAAGATTACAAAATAAATATTAAAAAAAAACATCACAAAAACAATTCTTCAAAATTTATCAAACAGTAAAACTTTATATACTATATATAAACAAGAAAATAATACATTTATAAAGTTTTATACTTAATATTTAGAAAGACTGAAAGCTATTCCAAATGCACTTTTAAGTTCATAAGAAAAAATCAGTATTGCACACATCTATTTCAGAAACTTGCAGAATATTTTTTTTAAAAACTTTTTAAAAAAACAAAAAATGTGACAGATATTAAAATTTAAGTAAACAAATCATGGTCATAAAACTGTCACCACTTTAAGAAGGTCAAATTGTTTAATTGAATTGTTTATGAATTTGTTTTAATTTCTTTCCAAATTTCATGGATATTTCAGTTTACTCTACATTAAGCTTATGCAATAAAATTTTTTTTTAATGTCTTTATACAGATGCTAAAATGCTTCGAACGATGTAAAAAAAAAGTGCAGAGTAAAACAGTGTGAGTGGAGAGAAATGCATTACATAATTCAACAACGGTTCCCAACTTTCGTTGAAGTTTTATCTCATTTCAGCAAGAATAAAAATGCTACTGAAATTAGCATCTTCTAATGTAATCAGGGTCCTTTTTGTTCTTTGTTTTGTTTACAAGAGATTCTATTCAGCAACACTTTACAAAAGCAAGATTATATCAAACATCTATGAGATTTATCCAAGATTTCTTTTTATTTCCCAATATATATGTGGTGTAGACTATATCTTTGTCATAAATATAAACTACTCATGAAGACAGAGATAAAAATTTAAGTGAAACAAATTAAGAAAATAAAAACTTAATGAATTGTTCTCCACAACAACACATACAGCAAGTATTTATAAAAATAGTTTTCTTAGTAAAGGAATTTTAAATCAGAAGATTTATATTACCTTGTAAATTTGAACTTTGGCAACTTTGTATACAAAAGTGCAAGTTGTCATTTTTAGGTAGCTGGAAAAAGTTAAGTTAAGCTTAAAAGTTATCTTTTGCATGGAATTATCTTTGAAAAATGAATTTTATAATTGTATGCAAAATTTTTTCAATTAGCTTAGAAAGTTCGATATATAGCAAAACACGTAAAAAGTAAAATTAACACAGGGTTCAAACTTTAGACTTCTTTTTTGACCTAACTATTGGGGCCATATTTCCCAGATTGTGGCTACCCCCTATATTTAGAGAGCCAGAAATCTGAATGAGTCAAACAAAAAAATATTTTTTCATTCAGAGTATGTATATGTTGTATGTATATGTTCAGAGTATGTATATGTACTTTGTGTATATGATTTCGTAACTTAATATATTGTTTGCACTTATGAATTAGTATATTTGAGGTCACCTCCTCAAACCATTAAGAATGAGTTCCACAACAATCTGAAAATCTGTTCATTAGATAAAAATTATTCAGGGTGGTCTGTTTTTTATTTTGCGCACTGTGCATTTACTAGGATACTGTGCATGCCTACAAACACGTAAGATAGTCCTTAATTAATATTAAAAGTACAATACAACACAAAATGTTGTAACTCATACTACCAACAATTCAATTCTATGACTACGAGCAGAAATGAATTTGTATGAGCCATATTTCTTCCACTATAAAGGGAATAAAAGGTACAATTAAACTAAAAGTTAAAACTGTTTTACTGTGTTATTAAAGAATTGAAATCAGAAAAGTTAAAAAGGTAGAAAACTAATAAATTTGTTAAAACATAAAAAATATTGATTTATTTAAACAGATTAAGAAGTTAGAAATAAGAGGTAGGGAAACTAAAAATCAGGAAACAAAATATCATAAAAAGATAAATGAATAAACAAATAAGGGGATAATTGTACCTCTCCTTGATACACTTTAAAATATGCATATAGATTTACAGATTTAAGGCCAACTTATGAAATATTAATATAAACTTTTATAAAAATTTTATTATTGAACAGTTAATTCCCGATTTTCCGTCAACTATAAAGGAGTAAATATTACAATTAAGGTTACCTTAAAAGCAAGTAAATTAATAGTGAGAACATGATTAAAGAAAACATGCTTGATACTAGTAGTAGTAATATGAATATCAAATCATTTGCAAATTGAACTTATTAATCATTCATAATAAAAGAAGTTATAAAATACATGCAAAATGAATGCACTAAAAAGAATAATAAAAGTAAAAAAATAACTTTTAATTATACACTGCATTACAAAATGTATGTAAATTAGATGCAATTATTTACAAAAACCTGAAGTTTAATAAATTAAACTGAGTTATTTAATAAAAAAAGGTTGTTAATAGCTGATTTATACATAAAAGTGATATATTTATCAAGAAAAACATCAATAAGATTTGATAAATTAATATCAAAACATATAGAAATATCAAATATTTATAAATTACCAATATATTAAAAACCCAAATTGATATTTAAATTAAGATAAGCATTTACCCTAATAATTATAAAGACACAAAAAAAGCTTTTTTTCATTAGGATTTATAAAAAAAAATTTTTTAAAAATTATAAATATTTCATTAAAATATAGCGTTTAGTATTAACAGTTGAGTCAAGTTAAATAACCAAATTTTAAAAAAGAAATACGAAGTTTAAGTATTTTGCTTCAACTGTGTGGTTAAAAATATTACAAAATATATATTGTACTTTTTATATGTATGCCCTGTTACAATTTTGATACAAAAATGTTTATCATTTCAAAGTTATTCAAAAATTCAACTGGAAAAGATGGTACATGTATATTAAGCTCAATATTTTAAAAAAAATCTTTAATTGAAGAGAGAACAATTATGTCATTGTCCTTAGTTTTAAAAAAATGATAACTTTCATATTTAAATGAGACCATAAATAATTCCCAAAATAAAGAATAACTGAATTAAATACACAATCGAAATAAAAAAAAACATCAAATAAAGAAATAATTAAGTAAACTAAAAATCCTTAAAGTTAAACAATAAGTAAAATAATGTATTCTCATTCATAGTATAAAATGCAAATGGCATGCATTAGAAATTCTACAAAACCCAAAAAAGGGAGAAAAATAAAAAGTTAATAAAATATACTTGCTATTTGGTGTTATTTCACTAACCACATCATAGTTCTCATTCTTCTGTTGCAAGATCGACACATAATTCAGCTAAATGTATCTCCATTTTTCCTTCCAGGTGACCCATCTCTGATTCTATGATATAATAACAAAATATATTATTAAATACATTCATAACAATTACATACAGGGTATCTGCTACATTTTAGATTTTCCAATTCTTGACTTTTCATGTATTTTTCATGACTTAACAAAGTTAATGTTTTCGCCAACAAAAGCACAACAATAAATTCAAAAAAGCAGTGTAATAACATTAATTGAAATGATAGGTATAACCAAAACTGTTGCACTTTATAGATTTTAAATTAAAAAAACAGAGTAAAGAAAGAGTTGAAGCAATAAAATAGCTAAAAGAAATACAAAAGTAAATAATTTTTATTTCTTTTTTTCTGCAGAATTATATTCTAAAGATACTTTTCTTGTTCATCAGAAAGAAAAGAAATATTCCACTTTTTTTTTGTTCTCATCTCCTAATAAAAATTGGCCTGTGACTGGCTTGCTTCAGCTAGAACTTTAAATTGATAAAATTAAAAAAATAACAATAAGAATTCTGAAACCACAGAATAAGATAATCACTCTAGAAATGATGTTTTTTCTTTCATTTTTTGAAAGAACACCATAACTTTTAAAGAACAGGATAAAAACATTTTATAATTTAGTAAAATATGACTGAGTGGGGATTTTGTTACAAATTCAGATATTCAGAACACCATGAAATTGGGGGAGGAGGTAAATTCCATTTTAAAAACTACAATTTTCGCTGACCTAAATCCAAGACTTTCCATGATTTTTTTTTAAAAAAAATAATTAATATCATGACAAATTTTGTTCAATACCGAAATTCGTGACTTTCCCTGATTTTTTATGACTTTCCAGGTACGCGGATACCCTATATATAATGAAAAACTATCATTTCTTCTTGCTAGAATAAGCTACTGAATCATACATACGTAAACGACACTAAGCAGTTTCATATTAAACGAGATGTTAAATATGATTTAATTCTTAAACTGATAAGCTACTATACTACTAATCCTTTAACTGATTGGCAGATTATTTCCATTAAGTAACATATAAGAAAAACTGCATTCCGTGCACGAAAGTAAAGGAGCTGTCAGCAGTTAGTTGGCTTTTTTAAAAAAAAATACAGAAATATTTTAAATTGTAAAAAATCATTCAAAAAAATTTTAAAAATTAAAAAAAAAAAAAAAAAAAAAAACAATTAACTGACTGTAGAGTTTGCCAATAAGGGAAACTAAATTGGCTTTACTGTACCAAAGGTAGATGACATAACAAACTCAAAATAAGTTCTGATTCAGTATTGTAAATATGTCTGACAAATAAGAAAAAAATGTAAGAAAACGAAGGAAAAAAATTAAATTTACTTGTATTCAAGAAGTATATGTTTATCTGAAGAAATGAGAAAGAGAAAAAATAAGTTAAAAAGCATATTATTTGCAAAATAACAAAATCTGTGACATTTAGAGAAAATATTGATGTCCTTGATTAATCACAAAAATATGTATAGAAAATATTTTCTTGATTGAATCAAAAAAGTGAACAGCAAATTCATGTTAATATTAGAACATTAATGTATAAATGTATATAGAAGTAGAAATTAAGAAGATTTAGTCACTGGTCTAAAGGACCAATAACTAAAAGAACTGAAATAATAGATAAGTAAGCGATCGAAGCACCCAGACTGCCGGGGCCAGATTCTCAATTGGTCGCCTAAAATGTCTAACATTCAAATGTGGCTAAAAAATTTACCCGACTTGTAAAAAATGCTGTATCCAACCAGCATCACCGAAACATATACTTGATTGTGTCGGAATGTCCAGGGCGGACTTAATTTCCCATCCCCTTCTTGCCATCGACTTTCTGGCAGTAGACTACTTTTTGGAGTTGATCTGACTAATGTCAGATCTATGAGCAAACTGAAATAACAGCGAAACTTCCCTTAACATTGATTACTTGTCTAAAAACACTCAATATTATATAATGGTTTTTACTATTTTATAATGGTCCAAGTCATATTTAAATCACCACTTATTTTGAGCCCTATATATATACACCGAAATTCAAACCTGTTAACCTTTTTAAAAAGCTTTAAATTACCATTTAGACCTCTATTTCAACAATACTAAATTAACACTTTTAAAAAGTTTTGTTTTTAACTGCTGCAAATTTTCTTCTCAAAGCACGGAAAATTGATCAAAGAAAAGAGACAAGTTTTTAGAAATGAAATACAGCGTGGCAAAACTCTCTCGATACTGGGAAAAAAAGTTTTAGGTGGTCTTAAATGTGTGGTCACTTTTTTCATTGATCTTTACAATCAATTCAGAAAAACATGTGATATGAAAAGTGTAGAGAGCCATCAGAATAGTTTGTCAAGTAAGCAGGGATATTGTATGAGCAGAGCATAAAGAAATAAGTAGAAAGGAAATGCAGGGTATCTGCTACATTTTAGATTTTCAAATTCATGACTTTCCATGACTAGTTCCTAGAATTTTTCATGACTTAATGAAGTTACTATTTTCTTCGACAAAAACACAACAAAAAATTTAAAAAAGCGTTATAATAACATAAATTGAAATGATAGGTATAACCAAAACTGTAATACTCTGCATCATCATATTTAAAGATTTTAAATTTAAAAAAAAAAAAAAAAAACAGAATAAAGAAAGAATTAAAGCAATAAAATAGCTGAAAAAAATACAAAAGCAAAAAAAATTTTTCTGCACAATTATATTTTAAAGATACTTTGAAGATACTAAAGATACATCCGAAAAGAAAGAATTACTCCCGATTTTTCTGTTCTCATTTCGGAATTTTAAAAAAATTCGCCAATGACTGGCTTGCTTCAGCTAGAATTTTAAATTAATAAAATAAAAAAATAAAATATATAATAACAAAAATTCTGAAATCCCAGAAGTTTAAAAGATAATTCACTCTAGAAATGATGTTTTTTCTTTCATTTTTTGAAAGAACACCATAGCTTTTAAAGAACATGATAAAAACATTTTATATTTTAATAAAATATAACTGTGAGTGGGAATTTTATTACAAATTCAGATATTCTGAACACCAAGAAATGGGGAGGGGGTATTCTCAAATTCCATTTTAAAAATTAGATTTCTCAGCGACCTAAATCTATGACTTTCCATGATTTTCTTTAAAAAATAGTTAAAATCATGACATTTCATGACAAATTTTGTTCAATACTGAAATTCATGACTTTCCAGGTGTGCGAATACCCTGAATATGTTACAGAAATTCTTAGTTTATTTGATGTTATAAAAGGTTTAGAAAGATACTAGAAACTTGGACAGTTTTCCACAATATATCACTTAGAAAAAGAAGAAACAATAAATTCTACTTTATATTTTTTTAGAAGAGACACTTAAGTACATATTTCCTTCATGAATGTTTAAGTCCGTAATATGAATTTGAAATTTTATTAACACAATATGGGTAAGATATTATAACTTCTGTCTACTCAATTAAAAGCTGTTCCTTTACCATGAAAAACTCCTTTAACAGGTTGAACTGTTACAAATATAAAAAGCAACTAACTGACTCATTTTAGCTGTAATGTTAAAAAAAGATTAGAACTGGAACTGCCTAAGAAAAAAATGTGTCAAACTATTATTAGAAAAAAATGCCTATGCACATTATATATTTTAAATGACCATTACA